AGTGTTCAAACCACTGAGCCACCGACGCTCTTGTTATAATATTAGTATGATTTATCGATATTATCTATATTTGATTAATGATCAACATTGTTTTCGTAGAAAGCTTTTTAAAACTTAAAGATAAGGATGGTTTAAACATACATTTGGTTGAGTTAAAAGTTATTTGTATGAAATTATATTCGATTATTACTGTTTATCTATGCTTGGTAACTTTCTTTCTTTAATATCTTGATTTTTATTTTATAAATATTTAATAACTAGTTGTTGCTCGCTACTCCGTCCGCGCAGAATTAAAAAAAAAACAAAAGTGACTACCCTACGTGTTCTTCCAGACTATCCTCTACATTTGTACCAAATTTCACCGAAATCCGTTCCGACGTTTAGACTACAACTCTAACAAACATCCATCCATCCATCTAAATTTTCGCATTTATAATATTAGTTAGATTAGATGGATAATAATTTCATATGACTCAATTCATTCGATATGTAATTTGTCCAAGCAACAGTTTGACTAAGCAAATTTAAAAGTGGCGACATTCACAATTTGGTGGTGACGGTCAAAATAAAATACTGTTTTGGTGTTTTAATTACATTAATTAGGTTCATAGTTTTGTGTTTTTTTTTATTTTTAGTTGTAGATTATCATATCTTACTAATATTATAAATGCGAAAGTTTAAATGGATGGATGGATGTTTGTTAGAGTTTGTAGCCTAAACTGCTGAACGGATCTCCATGAATTTTGGCACAGGTTTAGAGCATAGTCTGAAAGTACTCATACGTTACTTTGTCATCCCGGGAATAGTTACGGTTCCCGTGGGATTCATTATTTAGTTTTTTAATGTTTACTCGATCATTCTGCAACGGTTCAACATATCTTATTGAAATTTGGCACAGATATAAAACAAAGTCTGGAGTACACATGGGATAAGGTTCATCCCCGAGAAATGTCCGGTTCCCGAGGGATTCGTAGCTTTTTGTTATTTATATAGCTCGTATGTTCTCTAATACCACGCGGACGAAGTCGCGGGCAACAGCTAGTAGGTACATATTAATAATATTTTTTTATACGTAATCTCAAAAGCGAATTCGTAACTACAGTGCAGTGTGGCCCACATACAAGCAACCTTTGAATTACGCCGACGTATTTTTACGGTCAGTTGCATATCTTAAGTTATACACTCGCAAAAACAATTTCTTTCAAAGGTTAAATGTCAATTAAAATAAATAAAATACATTTGTGAAAATTATGAAGTACTAGCTCTCGCCCGCGACTCCGTCCGCGTGGCATTGAAAAAAACAAAAGTGAATAGGCTATGTGTTCTTCCAGACTATCCTCCACATCTATGCCAAATTTCATCGAAATCTGTTCAGACGTTTAGGCTACAAACTCTAACAAACATCCATCCATCTAAACTTTCGCATTTATAATATTAGTATGATTTTTTTAATACGGAGACAAAGTCACACAAGTAACAGCTAACAATAAACACAAGAACATTTCTATTATATATAAAATTTCACGTTATAAAACACTTATTCCGTAACTTTCTCTTTAAAAAATACTAATTAACAATATCTAAAAGTGAAACTAGTCTCAATTAAGATCAATTAATTCGTCAGCATTAGGCTATCGTATTTTTATTACAGCCTACG